AAAAAAAAAAAAAAAAAAAAAAAAAAAGGAAAATACTATATCCTATTGGATTTGTATCTAATATGAAAGTCACATGGTTTGGCCATTGAAATTTTATCTCAAATTCTAAATATACTTGCACTTTTTTTTTCCTGATTACTTGGGTAGCTTTAGCTTGCTAACGAATCAAGAAATCAGTAAATCTTTTGTTTGATTGCTGGTGAGTCATTTCTAGCCCTCTTATAGTTTTACTTTAATCGAGGTGTTATAATTTTCTATTCTTTCAAAAAAAAAAGCATGGTCGATATCATCCCAATATTTCATGATAGATCAAATAAAATGCTACCAATATTTCACAAAGAAAACTTGGATCTCGTTTGATCAAATGGTCATATTGATCATTCTGATGGAAAAGTTAACAGACAAATGCTACCAATTGGCTGCACTAATTATTGTTCATATTTCAAGGCTTTATAGATCCTTCGCACAGAAAGCGAATGGAAAATTCTAATCCAAAACTTCACAATCTTTGGAATGGCAAGCAACAGGAGCATCCTACAAGGCTGCAAAATCATGGATCTTAAGTCACCGCTTGAGTTGCCTCCTCAAACCAGGAGCTCTCTTTGGAATGTACACCTTGTAGTTCACCTGAAATGGATATTTGCAGATCCGTTCCAAGTTCTTAAGAAAACTAGTACAGTTATACTCCCTGCTGAATATATAAATTTATTCAGTACTCAATATTTTCACCTGCACCATTTCACCACCCCGCTTTACCGACATGGTTTTCTGTTCGAACTGTGAGCCTTCACCACTCTCGTGTCTGGACTCGTTCAAGAGATTTTCTCCTGAAATAGAATTAACGGAAGAAGAAGAAGAAGGCTTGTGAGGTGGAGATCCAAAACCATCACCAATGTTTTGAACATCATTGTTCCTCATCTGGGTCTGAGTTTGAGCGGTTTCATCGTCGCACATGTCGGATTTAGATGGCTTTGTTTGGATAGGTTCCTGAGAGGCAGATGCCTGCTCAGTAAGAGAATCAACATTCGACTCAGGGCTTCAAAGCTGCAATAACCAAATTGCTTCTGTTAGTTGTTGGACAAATATCTGCATCTGCCTTCTGGCAAATCCTATCATTTACAACCTCCTGGTCTACTGACGAAATATGCTGCTTCAGTTCATTCATATCATTGCTTCCATTGGAAATCTTACCCAGGCGCTGAGAAGAACAGACAGGATCATACGTAGATGCAACGGCCGAGTCCATTTCATCGGTAGATTTAACACCATTTTCAATTATCATTGAATTTACAGCATTCCCTCCACCTTGTCTAGAGAACCTGTTACCATTTATCCCAGCCTCATCCCTAGGGGAAGTCACGTGAACCGACTTAGAGACAGGGGAGTCCAGTTGCTTCGCATCATTACTTTTGTCAACTTCGCAATTAGCAGGAGTTTCCACATTCCTTGGGAGCACCCGTTTGTACTTTCTTAAGTTTTCCAAAGCCCTCTGTCTTAAAATCGACTCTAAGTCGATATAGTTTGTGTCGTCGGTGTTTACAGAACAACCATTCTTTCTTTCATATAAAGGATGGTCATGAGTTGATCCTCCATGGTTATTGTTGCTTCCTTCATTTTGAACTCCATCATCCTTCACAACTATAGAGTTTCTATTGTCAGTTATAATCACTGGTGCCTCTTCAGATATAAGATTATCTAATTCTCTATTACTCATCCCATCATTTCTGTCCATATCCCCAAAAGAAGGGTGGTCATGATCAGGTTGATGTGTGACGTTTTCTTGTCGTTCATTCCCATCAAACGTCTCTAATTTATCTTCCTCTCCTACTACAACGATTACAGATCTTAGTCGTCTCAAGTTATTTTCAACATAACAGACATCCTCAACCTCATTCTGATGATCACTACCTTCACTACATAAAGAGATGGCGAATGACTCTTTGACTGATACCGACTCCTTTCAATCTTCCCCATATTTTTTTTCCTCTTTCTAGACCTGCCCTTACACCTATCGATTTCTCTCTCATTGCTGGTTGTACTCCCATCTCCACAAGTCGAGCAGCTCAAAGAGTCACTACTTGTGGCACGAACACTCCCATCTCGTTTACGCTTCTTTTTATTGCTCTTCTTCATCTCACAACACTCGTCTCTCTTTGAATGCTTCCTCTTTCTGGGATGAGGGGAGAATCCCTTCTTTGACGGTCACGAGATTGCTTCTTGGCTCTCTTTTTAGCATTCTTACGCATCTTGGATCGAGATCTTCCCACTTTTTCATCATCCTCCGTGCTAGAAGAAGACAATGAAGTTGAGCTTTCAAAATCCTTGTCAGAGCCAGAGGGAGAATCATGGCGATACCGCAACTTCTTGGACTTCAGTTTCCTACTACTACTCTTTCTCCTACTTCTCTTCATGGTTTGAGCCAAAAAGGTGAAAAGGACGCAAAACAAATTCACATCGGCATCAAAACAAACGTATATGAGGTAAGAGAGGCAAGAGATGGAGCAAACATTCATATTTTAAACCGCAACCACAATACCAATATCACATTTACCAATTGCCAGCTGAAAGCAGAACTAAAAAAGTGAAAGACGAAGAAGAAACTCATACAAAAAAACTTAAAATTCAAGCATACAAATCGACCAAGCAAAGATTTCCCAGATATATTCGTGAATTCATAAGCCAAACTACAGCATAATCTTAGAACATTACCCGTGTGTGTGTGTGTGAGAGAGAGAGAGAGAGAGAGACAGTGAGAGTACCTGGGATGAGGAAGTCTTGGAACGCCCCTTGTTGCGAGAAGAGAGCTTTCCCATCGGGATTTAACCTGCAATTACCAGGGAGAAGAACGAAAAAACAGATAAAAAAGGGGAAATTGAAAGCAAAAAGAGAAGAATTAAATTGAATGAGGGAATTAGGGTTGGGAAATTAGAAAAGTGAAGGGATTGGAGGTTGATGAAGGGTTTGCTCTGTTTCCGACGGATCTCATCGCAAACTGGAGGAGGTCCGTTTCTCTGTTCGTTGACAACCGCTGTCCTTCACACTCTTTCTCCGACTTTATTCGTGTCCACTTTTGAGTTAAGTTTTTTTTTTTTTCAAAACAATTTTAAATTATAAAATATTATACGGTTATCAAATTTTTAGAGAGAATATTCTAACGGTTCAAACTATTACTAGCAAATATTGTCTATTTTGCAGAGTTTCTTATTGTCATCAGCTTCACAATTTTAAAACCACATCTACTCGGAAGAAGTTTCTACCCCTCTATACAAAATTGTTCAATCCCCTCTTCAACTAATGTGAGATCTCATGAATAGATATAAGACAAAGGATGACGGTAGTGGTCACCATAGATTGATATCTAGTGGTTGTAAGAGATGGATAATAGTCGATAGATGTCGGGTGGTAGATGGTGGTCACTATTTGTGGGCAGCAGATGGTGGTCACTATTTGTGGGCAGCAGATGGTGGTTGTTGGAGGTTGGTGATAGATGGTGGTGGTGGCCGCCACCGGAGGTGGGTGGCAAACGGTTGTTCTGTGTGGCAAACGTAGTAGTGATTGTTGTAGTCATCAAAAGTGGGTGTAAATTTTATATTATCAATAAAATATTACAAAATAGTATCTTTAAAAGCAAGTAGCCATTTCAATCTGATATTTACAATAATGAGATTGTTAGATGAAAACAACTGATATTGTCCACTTTGAGCATAAGCTTTCATAACTTTGCTTTAAACTTCCCCTTCATACCAATGGAGGTAGTATTCTTTGATTATAAACTCATGATGATTCTTACACTTTCAATAGAAAAAAATTAAAAATCAAAATCAAAATCAAAACAATCGTATAAATCGATGGGTAAACCCACCCTAAAATGAGTAATCCTGAAGAACAATTTTTAATAATCACCGAAAATAATGAACAAGAAGAGTAGAAGAATCAACAGAAAAAGGCATGCCCATCTACATAGCTCAGCATTTACATACTCCAGACATTATTACATTATTTACAAACTCAAGCATTATCATTCAGTAATTATCATGATTCATTGTATATAGTAACATGGTAACACCACACCCTAATTATCATCGCTATCACTGATACTAAGTCGAAAATTCAATGTGTCATCGACGATCCTCCCCCTGGTTCAACACAAGTAAAAAATAGTTGAGACTGCAAAAGATTTATACAAGTTAACCAACTTACAGACGTGAGAAATCCACCTTTCAAGAACAAACTTGCCCTCCTTGTATTTCTGGCTCTTCTCGTGTGCTGCGTCCTGAATGAAATAATGAGTAACAAACATGTTGACAGAGTTTTGGCAAATTATACATATTGGTAGCCACCCGACATGGAAGGTTTGCTTACATATTTCCACCCGACAATTTGGCCACATGTGCAACAAAATATGTCAGCTACTGTATGTAGTCCTGAGAGCATCATCCTCTCTTCCAATGCTCCCGAAGAAATGTTTATCCTTTATGAAGAACTCCAAAATGTAAGTGAATATAATCCATTCTTTGTAATGATGATAACATGGTAAACGATGAACATGACTATTTTGTATGTAACAAAGGGAAGAAAAGAAGCTCGTCTCTCTCCAACTCACTTGTAATAGTCAAAATCCACCGCTAACAAATATTGTCTTATTTGGGCTTCCCCTCAAGGTTTTTAAAATGCATATGTCAGGGAAAACTCTTATTATGCTTTATTCATCTCTATGGTTAGCCTGAATTTCCTTTCATAGTAGCCTATACTATACCCATATCTGGTCTACAACTTATAGCTCAGTTGAGTGCAGTAGTTGCTCAAACGAAAGTCAGCCTACAAGGAATCTCATTTCCAATTTTTTTGGTATAGTTTCTCTTAAATATGGAGTTCTCTCCACTTAGCACGCTTAGTAGATAGGCTAGCTTGGGTGCTTTTAGTGCTCTACTTGCAAACAAAAAGGGGAGGGATTTTTTCTTGTCTGCTTCTACTGCTTCTACCGGTTTATCTCTTGGCCAATCCTGTGTTTCATGCCTGCTCTAAGCACATAGAAGTTTACTACCACTTCCATCCATGACCTTGTCATTGTGGGCTGCTCAACTCCAAAATCTCCAAACTAAAGAAGGACATTCATAATCATCTCGACTGAAAAGAAGAGGGAGGAGGGAGGAGTGAATGACTAAAGCACTACTAAAGGATAAAGGAAATCGATTGAGAAACTTCCATGGGACCGGCTATTCACTCATTTTTTTTCTGCTAATGTGCAGCAGCGAGGAACCCACTGGTTGTTGGACTAACCTATGGGGTGTTCCGGCAAAGCACCGGGTTGTTGATAAGGAGCGTGAGCGGGTGGGGGGGGGGGGCTCACACAAGTAAATGAAGGAACTCTGTAGGGCCTTGAAGAAGTGTGGCGCTCTGTCTCGGAACCTTGTGGGGTTAGGAGTAAATCCAATCCTTCCCTTCCTCTTTTTGTAACTGAACAGGGAGACTCACATCTGGCTTATGTTATTTGGCATTCGACTGATTTCACTCGAATTTCAGTCTTTCACCCAATGAAGCAGCTAATTCATTTACTCTCCTATATAGACTCAATAGACTCAAGATAAATAGATAAATGAGACTGAACTACTTAACTGAACCTGATTTCATTTTGTTCTTTTTTTGGAAGGTTTAAGGAAGAAAAGCAAAATGACTGAATATGTGCATTCTTATATAAATTATGATGATGAGGAGTTTGAGACACTAACATAACATCGATTAAGCCCTTATGAATCAAGGCCATTATCAATTCTATGTCTTAGTTTTAGCTACCTAAAATCTACATGAATCGAGACTTAAATAATTGACGATCTACAACATGAACATATAAACTAGTTCAATATGCGGGTCAGTTTTGAGTGCATAGTGACCCAAATTATAAATCAAGATAGAAAACTCACACATGATTGAAGAGGTAAGCTTTTCCCCGGCGGCAATGAAAGGTCTGATCAAATAAGAGCGAAAAAGTTAGGACGAAAGAGCTGCTGAAATGTAAAACAGTTACCGAACATTAAACAAAATCTGCTTTAAAAAAGATGTATACACACCCGAGATGCAAGGTCATCGGCGAGAGCTAACTGTGTATTGCAGAACTTGCATCTGTACGATCGCCCTTCCTTTTCCACAACAAAAACCCTTCCCATAGCTCTCCTCCGCCACTCCACGCTTCTTACCTCCCGTTTTCCGACTCAGCTTCTACAGGGAAAGGATAGCGCCGCCGTCTGAAGCAACTACTGCTCTAGAAACGCTGGTGATCCGTAGTAAACAGTAAAAGTAAGCTTGAATTGAGAGAATGTAATCCGGAGAGAAAGGAAACCGCCTTTTTCCCTTAAATTCGTCCATATTCCAGTAGACGAAGGACACGAGCACAACCATTGTTGACGTGAAGAAGAAGCTGTAAGATTTGGCCCATTGGACATCCGCTTCGATCCGATGAACAAGGAGATGGGTTGAATATTGGGCCTCTTGTTCTTTCTTTTTTGTAATTTTGTAGTGTTTTTCGACATAGAATATTTTAAATTAAAATGTCATAAAATTTAAATTTTATAATTTCCTGTTGAAATATAAATTAAAATAATAAAAAAAAAAAAGAAACTAACGTCATAATTATTTTTAAAAAATTATTATTGATTTATCTTCAAGTTATAATTTTGATTTTTTTGACTTAAAAGAAAAAGTGTGAAGACAGCAAAAAAGCCGGTTGGTTACCTGACAACCCAACAGCATACAGCTTTAAAGCCGGCTCACGCTCCCAGCCGCCCCCCATCTTTTTTAACAACCGCCTTAAAAATAATTAAATTTAAAAAAGAAAAAAAGGACTAGTACACGTGGCAGTGGGAATCAAACTCACCCCAGCCCTAGTCTGAAATCTGCGGACGCGTCGCCTTAACTGTCTGTCCCTTTCAGACAACTCACCGCCACAACAGCCGGCCTACCAATTTTATCCGTACATCCTCTGACGTGGTCCTAAATGATTGGGCGCCTTTCCCGGATCCAGCACCGCCAAAACACAGCCGCGTTGAGACGGGTTCCACGCCACGCGGATTACAGGTCCCACCCCTGACGCCACCTTCCGACACGTGGACGCATCTCCTTTTGTTCTTTGTTTTTAAAATGAAGATTTAGACTCGTTCCCTATTCATATATATATATATATATTTACATTTTTAAAATAAATAATTAATCAGAACCGCCACATTAAGAAAATATTTAAATAATTTGAGTATATTACAATTTTATTTAAAATAATGTAACGACAGGTGGTGGCGTGGCAGGAATTTACTTTTTTTTTATGATTTTTTTTTTCTACGATTGGGTGAATATTTAAGTGGCGTATATGCTTGCCGCCTGCAACAATAATTAATATTTTATTGTTTTTTTTTTATTTTGTGAAAAAAGTTTTTAAGTAAAAAATTTGAGCCGTTGGATCAAGAATATCTTGTGGAAACGTGTCGGATAATGACAGCCACCATAGCGATCACGAGGGAGGGTCAGATGGGCTCTGTAAAAAAGAGAAACACAGGAGTGCGCCCCCACGCCTCCCCATCATGAACCTGCGCGGTGCAGTTTCTTTCACTCATTTATTATTATTTTTTAAATATTACCCTCGTTTTTATTATAACCATTTTAATTACTATAAAATATCGACCAAGATTTAAATTTAATTTAAAAGAGTTATGGGCCCGCCGCCGCCCCCACGACGGCCGACGCGGGATACGGATAATTTATGGAAACACGCAATTTTTTTATTTTTTTTTAATTAAAAAAAATCCCAAACGACAAGTCGGCTGTATTGTGATTCGTGCCGGCGACTCCAGATCTGCTGTATTCGTCCGACGTGTCGTTCTCGAGAAAATAGGGGAGAAAAGGAATTTAAATTTTACGACACAGCAATAAATAAATAAATAAATAAAATTATCCAAATTTCTCCATTAAAAGTGGAAGGAGGAATTCCTGTTATCTATACAGCAACGCAGTTTTTTTCAATCTCATTTTGGGCAGAACATTTGATCAAACCTAAAAATGGATTACGGATATATTAAATTTGAAAAATTAGATCCTCAGGCAACTTCCACCGCCGGAAGATTCAGGTCAAAATCAAACGGCCGTGATTTTTGCGAATCATCGTCGAAATCAACTACGGATGAGGAATCGGAGTCGCTCGCCGATCCGCCGGCAACAGCGACGGTTACAGTCCGGTGAAAGTCGCTCATCTTCTCCGCCTGAGCGAACGCGTCAAAGAAAAAGATTGGACGGGAAATGGCCGGAGGGTGGCTGCCATCGAGGAAGCGAGTGAGGGAAGCATCCGTCGGGGATGGAGCAGAAGAGGAGTCCACGGTGCTGCTCTCGCTGGGACTACTGCAAGTGGATCTACGGAACTTGTTGTTGTTGTCGTCGACGAGATATTCGTTCGGAGTTGGGAAGTTGGTTTTGGCATTAGCGCCTCGGAATTCACGCGCCGCTGTGTCGTAAGCACGAGCAGCTTCCTCCGCCGTGTTGAAGGTGCCAAGCCAGACCCTAGTTTTTTTGCGAGGGTCGCGGATTTCCGCTGCGTAACGGCCCCATGGCCTCTTTCTAACACCTCTGTACCGGATCTCAACGACGGCGGTTGAAGTAGATCGGTCTCCGGCAGCCATTAATCGGTTCTGTTTTAAAATGTAAAGAACTGTGGTTACAGAGAGGAATTAATACGAAATGAAATTCGGATGGGAAAATTGGGGAAGGATTTAGGGTTTATATAGGCGGAAGAGAGAGAGGGAAAAAAAAAAGAGGAGTAATTTTGGAGCGTAGAAGAAGGAGCGTTTGAATCACGCACAAAGCACGTGCCCCATGCAGCCTTTGGAAAAAGAAAATGAAAGGAAGCATAGGTGATGAATATATTCAAAGCTCAGTCAACGAGGCGTTTGACCGCTCCCTTTCCTTGCCTCCCCGCTCCGCCGTCTCCTCCACTCGGGTGGTGGCGATTAAGTTCCAATTAAAATTTTTAAAATTTAACAGGCTTAAAAATTATAAATAATAAATAATAAATTAAAAAATTAAATTAGCTTACATTTTTTCCTTTGAATTTTTGGAAAATGAAAATTTTGGATGGGTCCATGTGTATTGGCATTTTTTTGATAATATTTGACATTTGTAATCGATATTAGTGATATACGATAACTCGTGAATATTTGATATTTGAGCTTTATAATATTACTAAAAAAAAAGCCAGTGACAGCCTATTCTAACTCAACTTTATTTGGAACGGTTCGAGTCACCAACCCAACCAATTCAAAATCGAAAGATTTTTCTAACTCAACCCAACTGATGTAGGTTTAAATATATATATATATATATATAATATTATTTATATACATGTTGTGAATGTTTGATTAATCCACCACACCCAAATGGTGGTGAGAAGAATCAGGTCAGCATACCGTTGGTTGCAGCGGTCAGCATAATGGCCCTCTTTGCGGCATATTTGGCAATGAGGTGGTCGACGACCCTGACTTGAGTGGGTTCGTCCTCGATTAGAAGAGTTGTTTTTGTGAGAATAAGAACGACCTCGCTGGTTGGTAAAGAAAGCAGGGTGACTTTCATGGGTGCGGCCACGATTAGTGGCTATGAATGTTGTAGGAGTGGAGTCAGAGGACTCAAGGGAGCGCTGGAACAACTCAAAACTTTCAGTTTTAGAGACTAGATCTGCAAAACAGGGGATAGGGGTGAGAGCCATCTGAGCAGTAGAAAAAGCTGAAAATTCGGTGCCGAGTCCACGAAGGAACCAATGCATTTTATCAATGTCCTCGACGGGTCTGCCAATGGCATGAAGTTGGTCACAAATTTTTTTGAAGGCACAGGCATACTCAGCAACAGGTTTTGTGCCACGTTTCATTAACTGCAAGTCATCCTTGAGTCTCAGTTCACGAGCTTTTGACTGATGGCTGAACGTAGTTTCCAACGCAAGCCAAACATCACGTGCAGTAGAGAGACCAACGACAACAGCCATGGCTTCCTCAGTGAGAGAGGAGAGCAGGAGACAGAGAAGTCGTTGATCGGCTGCTCTCCATGCCAAATATTTGGGGTTGAATGTTGAGGAGGTTTCTGGTTCAAAGCGAGGTGGTGGAACCATAGTTCCATCGACATAGCCCAGCATGTCTTGACTCTCAAGAAGAGGGAGAAGTTGGCTTTTCCAAAGAAGATAATTGGAGAAAGAAAGTTTGATGGTGATCATATGGATTAGAGTATTGAAAGGAAGAAGATGATAACAAGATTCGGAAGCCATAGAGAAGAAAGAATCAGGGTTGTTAAACCAAAAGGGCTCTGATACCATGTGAATGTTTGATTAATCCACCACACCCAAATGGTGGTGAGAGTTCTCTTATTTATAATCATTTACAGAATACAGAAATAAGGTAAATTACAAATAATAAGGAAATAGCGATAAAAGGAAAGAATAATAAATGAATACAATATATTTGCATTTAGTAAAGGGGAAAATATGGTAATCCGTAATGTAAGGCAAATATCTAGATATTTTCCTTATAATGAACGGTCAACTATCCTTAACACATGTAATATCATGTAATCATGACGTCAAATTTTTTTATTTTATTTTAATAACAAAAAAGAAAATAAAAAATGAAAGTGTTAAAAAGATATTTAGTACTATCCATCCATATATATATATATCATATTTGATATTTTATTATAAGGGGTATATTAAGATAATGTAATATTGTGGTGAGGGTAGAATTAGTAATTGAATATATAAATAATTAAAATGTGGGGAAGGTGTGGTCACGCGGGGCAGAGATAAATAGAGGGGCGGTGGGTGTGGTCACGTGGGAGGTTTGGTTCGTGGGTGCCACCGGTAACCGGTTGCTGACGGCAACTTAAAGAAAAGGAAAATGGAAAAAACTGACAATTTTGGTTGTGATTGCGGCGCCGCGTGGGATCGTATACTTCTTTTGAAATTGGATGGAAAGTCATGGGAAAACTGTATCGTCTCATCTAACGGCTCTACTTGCCTCTAGATTCTGATGCTGCCACGTCATCTCTATTTCGTTACCTTCATATCATCTCTTTCAGCGTGTAAGCTTAGAGTGAAGTTTTCATTTAGAAAGTCGCGGCCATGCGAGGGCTGAGATAAGATGAGTGTCATGGTACGATCGAGGAAGACGGTCCGTCATCTAACATACCTAGAGATGTGCATGAAAGTTAAGTCAAAACATAGACTTGTTGAATGGTAGGTAGGGCCTTAAGACATGACCTCGAAAGTCTGAGTTCTAAAAGAAATTTGAATATGTAGTTCTGGAATCAAGTCATATGAAGCTCGTCAAATTTGGTGTCAATTGGACACAAAACAAACGATCGACGACATTGTATGTCCGTTCGCCAAAATCATATTTATACCTGCTAGACCAAAAATACCTCAAAATGTACTTGGAGGCATAGTATCAGCCCACTATTCGATTGGATCAAACATGTGTTGGAGGTTGTTAAATGGTCATGTATTAGAGGTTGGATCAAACACCCACTATCCGAAACAAAGCCTATAAATGAGAGTCCAATGCCTTAATAGAACCTAGATGGATGAATGCTCGGGATGTCCCAATATTATGAACACATGGGCTCATTGCCATGGCAGAGTGAGCTACGATGGCCAACGACATCCCATGACTTGGGATGGCATCGAGACATGTGAGCCACATTAATTGGAAACCAAAATGAGAATTGAAATGTGACATTGCGCCAAAAGACCTTGGTCCTAAGTGAATGCAAGATCAAGTCGAATGACTTGGCTTAGTATAGAGGCAAGTTAACAGGCCGCAGAAGATAGAACCAAGCACCGGTGGTGTGTGGTCAAACAAGTTTTGAATTCTGCAAAAGTTGTGTTCGGTCGATGAAGATGAACTCGCTTGAGTTCAGACTCAAAACTTGTGGGCGTGAGGGGCAACCCTTCCTACTTGTAAGAAATGAACTGAGAGTTTTGTAGCATTCAGAGGCTAAATCGGAGTGGGGCTGATTTCATTTGTTTGGTATAGGTCTGTTTGGATTAGTCTTACTAGCCTTGGATTGGGTTCTAAGCTACAATACATCTAGTTGGTTAGGCCCAACAACTACGGTACGTCTCCAATTGACTCGTCTAGGACAAGCTTAGCAACTTGGATGTGTTTTGAGTTTTATTCACCCTTAAAACAAGCTTTTGTTGAAGTTCAAATTTTATGGAACCATTAACCAAGAGCAGATGATATAGAAGTGAAACTTCGGCAGTAGACAAAGAACAAGATTCAAACTAAATATCAAAATAAGAGAAACAGATGAAGGAAAATGAAACAAACTTGTCAATATCTGATCTGATCTTCCCACTCCTTCTTCAGCAATGAGAACAAGAGGGTAGCATCAGGCAGCTGCTGGTGAGGCAGGGGTGTACCAGCCATGGTGGATCTCTACAGCTTTCTTTCTTCTGGCTAGCCGAGATTTTCGATGTGCTGCAGTGTTTCGGTGCAATGTTCCGACTTTCACGGCTTTGTCGATCACTGAGTATGCTTCTGCTATGAGCTTCTCAACTGGCAGGACTTCCTCTGATTGTGCTTCAGGTTTCTTCTTCAGATCATCTAAAGCTTCCATAGCCTGGAATTGTATGAGAGAAGTCATTGTTGAGAGAAAGAATAGTTACCAAAAGAAAAATGAATGAAACTCGAAAAGGATTAAGCTACAACACTTTCGTTTTCTTGGAAGGATGACAAACGAGAACTTCGCAAACATATATATATATTTTGATATCCATGAGAGTTTGAGCTATCATCCTACTATATTTTGTGGCCAAGGTCCCTCAAACAATATTACATTTCGGGTAGGTGACCATCATGGCTTGAACCAATTCTTTCTAATTCCTTAGTTTTATAAACACAACCCTTCCGACCACTGGACCAATCCGTGGTGGCTAACGTTGCAAACATAATTAAACATTCGCAAGAGACACCAAAGTAAAAAAAAAGAAATTCGTCCTAGGTGCATAAGATTCTCAAACTTAGATTATTTCAAGAAGGAACTCCAGTGACACAAAAGGCTGCTTATTACTAGCGCAGGAAGAGATTTTAGTAATATTACACCGCTCTTTCCTTGTAAGAGCCCAAGCCCACCATTTGTAGATATTGTTCTCTTTGAACTTCCTTTTTTGGACTTCCTTTTTTGGGCTTTCCCTCAAGGTTTTTAAAATGCATCTACTATGGGGAGGTTTCCACACCCTTATAAAGAATGTTTCGTTCTCCTCTCCAACCGATGTGAGATCTCACAATCCACCCCCCTTCGGAGCCCAGCGTCCTCGCTAGCACTCGTTCCCTTTGTCCAATCGATGTGGGACCCCCCAATCCACCCCCGTTAAGGGCTCAGCTTCCAAGCTGGCACATCGCCCGGTGTCTAACTCTAACACCATTTGTAACATCCCAAGCCCACCGTTAACAGATATTGTCTTCTTTGAGGTTTCCCTTCTGGGCTTTCCCTCGAGATTTGTAAAACACGTCTGCTAGGGAGAGGTTTCCACGTCTTTATAAAAAATGTTTCATTCCCCTCTCCAACCGATGTGGGACCTCACATCCAAAGTTGAAACAACAACAATTATCACCAGCACCTAAATATTCGAACAAATTTGGCCAAGCCAAACGCCATTCAAACACGTCAATTTGGTCTTTACCAACAAGAAAACCATCTAGAAAACCCATCTCTAGCCCATCAAAAAGTTCTATGCTGAAGCTATTCACCTCTGGACAAGAATATTCAATCATCTATAGCATATGCCTGACTATTTTTGTGATTCATTTTCCAATTCTTCATCAAGTATGGATGCTTGATAGTTCATACTATACAAAATATACCAAGGATCATTATTTAGTTCTCTACATGAGAAAATTAGTTTAGTTGCTTTGACTTCCCTGGCCTACATTGTCGTTTCATGTCCTATTTGGGTGGTGGGTAGCGTTTATAACTATTTTTTATAAACAAGAACTTCAATTGATCAGATTTTCATATCAAGCAGCACAACTCAACAACAAAGCAACCAAGCCAACAAGCTACGATCGACCTTGGAAAACAAAATCATACAAAATAATAGCAAGAATCAAGCATCAATTCTATCCAAGGAACACACAGAAGTACTTAACCCCTTCAGCGCTGATACAGTTCAGTTTTTTAAAAGTGCTTAAAAATTAGGCACATTCCTCCTAAAATGAAAATCACCAAGAAATTCAACTTTCCAGTGCCAAAAATAAAGCATCTAGAGGAGGGGAGCTGTTAGGACTTGGGCTGTTTGGTTAAATAGCGTTTCAAATATAAATACTCAATCAAAGATAAAACAAATTCTGGAGTGCATAATTCTTAGACAGAACACACCCAAATTTATTCTCCACATTATCAACAGATACATTAGATTCATTTTCATTTTCAATTTCACGAGCGATGGATTTCATCAATTCCGAGAGAATTCCATCACAAAAATCTAAAAACCAGCCAAAATTAGGTACCTTCTTCATTCTGGTTCTGATTTCGGACTTCCGGGCTTTGTTATAAGTGCGTCTTTTCTCAGCCTGCCGGGCTCTCTTTGCAGCAGAATCAGCCTTTTTCTGAGGAGCCGCCTCGCAAACCACAGAGTAACGAAGTGGCCTCTGAGCTCCACTCATCGACAGGCACCCTACTCGAAAATGAACCCAAAAAAAACCCCAATTCTTCAAGAAATCAAAGTAGAAGATAAAAATACAGGAAAAACAAAAGAAATTACCATCGGAGAAGGCAGAAACTGAAACATTGGACGAGAAACTGAGAGATCTGAGAGCCAAAGAAGAAGAGGAAACAGGCAAACAGGAGGAAGAAGCATTAAGGGAAAGATTCCCGAACTTAGAAGGAAGAGCAAAGCAACTAAATGAAGCTGCCGCCATTTTTCGCTGGGCAATTCACGAAGCTCCACAGTTCGAAGAATGGCGGTTCTACTGCACTTTCGTAGGCGCTTATCCACCGGAAGAAGAGCTACGCAGTATCGGTTTATTTTCCGTTATTTTTGGGTGTTTGGATTCCAGTTTTGTATATCCCCAACCGGGTTCCGTTTTAATTCCAACCCCACATAAGAGCCAAGGAGTATTTATTTCCAGCTTCTTCATTCAAATTTTTTAATAAGTTATTATATTTTTATATTAATTTTATATATTTTGATAAAATACAAATAAAGATTACAAAAAAAAAAAAAAAAAAAAAAATT